CATTGGATAGAGCTTGTCAAGATGCATCAGACACACTGACTTTCCCAATTGACACAGTCGGACAGGTGAATATCTGTTGAGAACATGTTGTTGTTTCATGAAAAGATAGGTTGAAAATGGAGTATGTGAATTTTTTCTTGGTCATGGTCGCACTTGTGGGGTTGAGGTTTGTATGGATATATGGCATATTGGATGCTCTATAAGACACAGTTGTTAGTGTTTTTGACACAGCTTCTGGGGCGAATGTTCGCTGATTTTACTCGAATCTGCCGCTAACTTCCCTGACGTGATGGTTACACATATCTTTAATGTCTTTATATGACACATTTATTAACATAACCTACATATGAATGCGACAAATGCACTACCACCTTATCTTACATAAACAACTAGTTAAGATCATCTTTATTATCCAACAACGATCAAATTCAATATTATTATCAGTTCCATCATCTATATAAACATTGAATTCAATAAATACATATCGATTTTGATTTCCAACATCAAATATAAATAGATTTAATGATAGACTTTATATTTAACCAAGATCAATAAATTGAAGAGGACCAACAAATGATAGAACATCAACAATTGTTTCATCATTTAAAATATCAACAATAACAATTGATAATCAAATAAATAATTATTTAATTTTCATATCACCATGGTTAGACACATTTACCATCAATATTTAAACGATAAACAAACGTTTACAAAAACGATTAATTAAAATTAATTCAAAAAAAGAATGCACCTACAACACAACAGAACACATCAATATTTAAAAAAATCAACAAACATTATCAACAAATCGTATATTAACAATAATTAAAATTATATTGATGATGAAAATCTTGAACAAAACCAACAACAAATAAGAACAATTTATTATATATTAACGACAAATATAAAATAATATTCAACATGGAGAATATTTACCATTATATCAATTTATAATTTATCTTTTCTAAGGTGGTGGTAGAATTTGTTTTCTTTTAGATTTTGGACAACAAGTTCCATTAACTTATATATTAATACCATCATGTCATCAATTAGCATAGATTACCTTTAGATTTTTGCTCATATGGTCAACATATTGATTGTCAATGTTTATTTTCTTCAATACATATATAAAATCAATCATTTTTTTTACATGATTTACAACCATCTATTATAGGACGTTATATACCTATAACATTAATTCGACAATAAAATATATATATATATCACTAGCGGAGGTACCCGATGTATGGAGATGATACGATAGCATATATC